TGTTAGACCAAATCATTTATGATGGCAGGGCTTGGGTAAAGTCGGCTGTTCGCTTTAAAAAATTTTTACATAACTTTGCCTCACTTTGTCGAAATACAGCCACTTTATGGCAGCACTGATCATAGACGAGCTAGCTCTACCGGATAGCCAGTGGCTCAGTCATCTCTTTCCCCCCTTCAATGTTTTTACTTCTACTTTTAGATAAAAATTCGTCTAAACAATTGGATGTAGGATTCAAGTCGACAGTAGGCGCAACCTCTGAACTTGACACTTACAAAGAGGAAGAGTAGCCCAGTCCACGTAATATTTAAATCACAAATATGACTGAACTTGCAGTCAACCGAGGTGTCAATTCCGAGCAATATAGCATAATTAGCGCTGGTAATAGAGGCGTGACCAAAATCGCACATATTACTAAAGAAACGCAGAATCATTGTTTTTGCTCATTCCTCAGTAAGTATGATTAGCACAACTGTATTCCTCATACAGTAATAGACTGGTGTAATAATAGCAAGATTTATGTGAATTCTGTACATTTTTAGCCGTAACGCAACAAATAAACACATAACAAAGCAACAATCTTGGGACTACTTACAAAGCTAAGGATCAAATCCCATAAAACTCTTCATGGCTGCTATTGGATCACCGTTCACTTCTATCAATTTCCTCTCGACAACGCTCTGAAACCCGTGGAAGTATCAAAACGCAACATTGCAAATAAGATATCAAAGTTACAACCTTAGGTAGCTCCAGCTCATTCATAATCATTTCTAAGTCGTCCTTTTTGATGTTTATGATTTTTTGCCGCACCTGAAAGGGCGGATATAGTTGCAAATCATAGTGGACTTGGAACCACCAATGATTTTTCGTTTGGATAGAAGCTTACTAAAAGGGTACGGCTCCTCATTAAATGCGGAACAGTCAAAGAAGCAAAAGGTATAGAAAAATGGATGAATACTCTCCTTATCCGCTGCATTCCACTTTCAGAAACGCAGGTCCTGATTTGAATACAAATATTACATTAAGGGCGAAAATCATGGTGTTTTATGAGGACCCAGATATGGTTTTTTGCGTTCCACTCCAAATTCGTTTATAAGTTGACAGTTTCAAGAAAATAAGCAAAACAATTATACGTCAGACCATATAATACAAAGATAGTTTTTGCCATTAGCTGGCTAAAAATCGATACATACTTGAAGCACGAAGGAAACGATCGGAACCGGCGAATATTGGTTAAAGGCGATTAATGAGTAACGGTCAGGCGTTAAGCTTTTATGTAAGATAACAGCTGATGTTCATAGGCGCATCATAACTGGTTGCAAAACTTCTTATCAACTTATTCTTATCAAGCGCATTTTTACAGTATGGGTCAATATCACGTTTTACTCTAGGGAAAAACTTAAGCTAAGTGTTGCCAGATAAAATTCTACCTCACGTTCTTTTCAAAAACTGTACATAAACTCACGAAGGGTGCCTTGTGTTGTTTTTGCGGGT